TCGATTATACCACACTAAAATAAAAAGGGGTTTGCACACAGATTTGTTAAATCTTTTTTTGAGAAAAGTTGATAATTTGCAACTTATTGTAAATGGTAGAAACCACCACAAACCCACAAATCAGGTTTTAGAATCTTTATTAAAGTACGAAGAAACTTGTATTAAGAATTTTTATTAATAAATAATAAAATGTATATATCTAAAGTTAGAAGTAGAAGCGCTTAAATTTGTTTACTTATTTTAACGTAGATATATAGGTATGTACATATGTAATAATTTCTGCACATACCTTTTATTGGTACATTGGTAATACTTATTTAGAAAGCTGACAATTTTCGAAACAGAGATGTAAAAATCGTTAATAATTAACATTTTTCATAATGACATTCTTGGCAGAAAAATATTTCTCTAATTAATATTTTCATTTATTATAAATATTTGTACAAATTTAAGTGAAACAAATTAGTGATAACGCTCAATAAACTATTTTTCGTGTTGAAATTTTGAAATCTGTTCAATAAAATTCAACCTTGCGTATTTTTCAGTGGGTTTTGTGTATTTAGAATATTTATATCGATTGATTGATACTGAATGAATGTGTGCACACATAGCAAAAGCTGCATTCATCTGAATGCTTATTCAGTGTTAAAAGTTAATGTTTCGTCATTCAGTTTTTTCAATCTTTCTTTGAATATGTTAATGTGTGCAATCGTATCTACTTTGAGTGAATGTAGAATTGGAAAATTATAAGCCACATTCCCCAACAAGGAAAAATTCAATGAAAACATAATAACATAAAATTGATGATTTTTAATTTCATATGATTTCACAGTTTTACAGCTCTGGCTGAAATACACATGCTAAGCCCTTCGAAATTTTGTGCTGGGGTATGCGTTACAGCTTCGCAAATTTTACCCCTACCGAAACCAAAGATGTATACACATCAAAAATTGCATGACGATCGGTTGAGTAGTTAACGCGTGAAAGCGTAACAAACAAACTCACTTTCGGATTTATAATATCAGAGTATTAAAGGCTCCGCCAGATAAACATTTCGCGTCAACGCATTTGATTGCGTTGCCGTATCAGACAAAAAAAGGCGCCAGATAAACACCTTGACGCACATAAGAAAATCAGCTGTTTGTATAGCGTTGTGTTATTCTTAAATTGAAAGTAATATTTATTAAATATAAAATGGAGAGCTCAAAAATTGTAAAAGCGATCGTTATGGTCCTTCTGTTGGTCAAAGCCGGTGAATGCCTTAAGGCATTATATGGCCGTCGAAAATATTGGGTACGACCGGTGTTGAGAAATCGCAACACTCATGGATTTTTCGCAAACAATTTTTGCTTTCCGGAGGAATTTAAAAGGACAATGAGGATGGAGAAAAATATTTTTGACTTGCTCCTTAATTTAATCAAGGAGCGCTTAACGAAGCACTCCAACAGGCCTTATATTTCTGCCGAATGTCGACTCTACCCGACCCTTGCGTAAGTTCATAAACATGCACATATATTCACATGTAGTATGTTCAAAATTTATTACGTTCAAAATTATTGTGATTATTTTCTGGAAACGCTCTAACTATATTAAAGGTATTTGGCTCATGGCGGAAGCAAGCAGCTATATTCTTCTGCGTTCAAAATTGGACTCTCGACAACGAAAGAAATTGTTTCGGAAACGTGCGAGGTACTTTGGGAAGTTTTAGGACCGATATATTTATCGATCCCGGATGAGAACGAATGGAGACGAATCGCCATTGATTTTGACGCAATGTGGGATTTGCCTAATTGTGTAGAGGCCATTGACGGCAAGCACGTAAATATTACTTGCCCGCCAAAGTCTGGTTCTTTGTTCTACAATTACAAGGGAAACTTTTCGATAATTCTTCTGGCAGCCTGTGACGCCAATTATACTTTCACGGCTGTGGACATTGGTGCATACGGTTCCCAAAGTGATGGTGGCGTTATGTGGAACTCGATCTTCGGTGAACTTTTGTATAAGGAGCAATTGGATCTTCCAAAGCCAGAAGTTTTGCCCGGAACCAACAAAAGTTTCCCACACTATTTTGTTGGAGATGCCGCATTCCCATTAAAGCCATTTTTGATGAGACCTTATCCAGGTTTGTCATTTGAACCAAGTTCACTTACAGTCAGTCAAGAAAGTTTAGGTGCAGCGAAATTTTTAAAATACGGGCAACTATTTTTTAAATATTTTATTTTTCGCTAATTTTGTATAAAAATATGGTTGATTCTACAACAAAAACCCCAAAAACCATAGTTCAAACCTTGTGCAAATTAAATAAAATTCCGCAAAATTTCATTCAAATATTGCACTTTTTATTTACGCTCTTTAGAAAAAACTCGAGTATGCAGTTTTTTAGCCCATTCAATTTTTCCATATAAAAAAAATTATCGGACATTATTTTATATGGAGAAAATGAGCGACACCTTCAACAAAAAAAATGCTAAAAATCAATGGTAAGTCCTAGCTTCCTCATACGTGCACTTTATTTTACTAAAATTGAATGGGCTAAAAAACTGCATACTCAGCTTTTTTCTAAAGAGCGTAAATAAAAAGTGCAATATTTGAATGAAACTTTGCGGAATTTTATTTAATTTTGCGCAAGTTTTGGAACTCTGATTATTGGCGTTTTCGTTGTAGAATTAACTATTTCTTTATACAAAATTAGCGAAAAATATAATATTAAAAAAATGGTTGCCGGTATACTGACTGTATGTTTATTTATTAATTTTTAAGATTTTTCAATTAAAATTCCCTAGTTTTATAGTTATGTATGTAGTTCCATAGTTTATATCAGTCTTAACTATTTTTCTTTCATTTGACAAATATTCATTACTTTTTTATAAAATATAGTTCATTATAATCATTTGGATTTAAATATATGATTTTAGTTAGATAA